GTAGTTTGAGCCTTGAGACTTGGGTTCGAATCCTCACTCAGCCAAACTGTCTTAATCATACCTTCCCATCCAGGTGTGGCGTCTCCTGTTTCACGCTCCGCCCGGATGTTGATGAAACCAGGATTAATTTGATGTCTCACCGGGGCGTTTGCCGCCCGATCCTTGTTCTGCCAGCTTGGCTTATGACGGCTCTTATCATGTGTGCCATCCATTCCTTCACAGTGGAATTCTTGGCTTTGGTCCTTCTTGAAAACTGCTCACAACAACCTTTTGAGGCAGGCTAGATTCACACTCACATGTCGACTGTAATTCAGCGGGATTGTGTTCATTGCCATGGCTTGACGCCATTAGGATCATGGGATCTGCAGTTTCTCAAGGTCTCGGAGCTTCTCTGCAAAAGAGTGCTGGTGCCTCACCAAACTGCAAATCTCAGGATAAATTCTACACTGCATTATATATATATATAGAGAGAGAGAGAGAGAGAGAGAGCACTGTATTTAATAATATGAATTACATATATATATATATATACAATTCTGTCCAATTCTGGGCACCACAATTGAAGAGAGATGTTGACAAGCTGGAATGTGTCCAGAGGAGGGCGACTAAAATGATCAAGGGTCTGGAGAACAAGCCCTATGAGGAGCGGCTTAAGGAGCTGGGCATGTTTAGCCTGAAGAAGAGAAGGCTGAGAGGAGATATGATAGCCATGTATAAATATGTGAGAGGAAGTCACAGGGAGGAGGGAGCAAGCTTGTTTTCTGCTGCCTTGGAGACTAGGACGTGGAACAATGGCTTCAAACTACAAGAGAGGAGATTCCATCTGAACATGAGGAAGAACTTCCTGACTGTGAGAGCCGTTCAGCAGTGGAACTCTCTGCCCCAGGGTGTGGTGGAGGCTCCTTCTTTGGAAGCTTTTAAACAGAGGCTGGATGGCCATCTGTCAGGGGTGCTTTGAATGCAATATTCCTGCTTCTTGGCAGGGGGTTGGACTGGATGGCCCATGAGGTCTCTTCCAACTCTTTGATTCTATATATATATATATATATATATATAATACAAGAAGGCAAATGCCTCCCATAAGACCAAACTGCATGGAGAATATCTTCACTGTAGAGTAATTATTATTATTATTATTATTATTATTATTATTATTATATATAAAAATGCTCTGTGCATAATGAGTACCTTAAAAACAAAAGAACTAATGAACAAAATCACACCAAATTTGGCAACAAAACGTCTTACAACACAAGGAGTGACTATCACTCAAAACATTATGATTTTGTCATTTGAGAGTTGTAGTTGTTGGGATTTATAGTTCACCTATAATCAAAGAGCATTCCGAACTCCACTAACGATGGAATTGAACCAAACATGGGACACAGGACTCCCTTGACCAACAGAAAACATTAGAAGGGTTTGGTGGGTATTGACCTTGAGTTTGAGAGTTGTAGTTCACCTACATCTAGAGAGCACTGTGGACTCAAAACAATGATGGATCTGGACCAAACTTGGCACAAGCACTCAATACGCCCAAATATGAACACAGATGGAGTTTGGGGAAAATAGAATCTTGACATTTGGGAGTTGTAGTTGCTGGGATTTATAGTTCACCTATGATCTCAGAGCATTCTGAACCCCATCAACAATAGAATTGGGCCAAACCTCCCACACAGAACCCCCATGTGGGCCACAGCAAAATCACTGGACGAATTGACACCAAATTTGGACACAATACATCTATCAGGCAAACAAGTGACCATCACTCACAAACACACTGAAAAACACAGCAGAAGAGACTTACAAAGCCAAAAAACAAAAATTACATTACAACATATGCGCAAAACCACACATATATATGCAAACACACATATACACAAATATATACACACACAAAACAGATATCCAAAGACTGGGCTACAGCAACACGTGGCAGGGGACGGCTTGTGTGTGTGTGTGTCTGTGTGTGTGTGTATATATATATATATACACACACACACACACACACACACATATATATACACACACACACACATATAACACATATTATATATAATACAAGAGGGCAGATGCCTCCCATCAGACCAAACTGCATGGAGAATATCTTCACTGTAGAATAATTTTTATATATATATTGATTCTATATTGAAGATATTCTCCATGCAGTTTGATCCGATGGGAGGTACCTGCCCTCTTGTGCCCAAAGCAATGCTTGCAGCTGCTGAAAAGTGCAATTATTGTTTATTGTTGAAGGCAATCACTGGGTTGTTATGCGTTTTTAGGGTTGTATGGCCATGATCCAGAAGCATTCTCTCCTGAAGTTTCACCCACATCTATGGCATGCATCTTCAGAGGTTGAGGGGTCTTTTGGAAACTAGGCAAGTGAGGTTTGTATATCTGTGGAATGTCCAGGGTGGGAGAAAGAACTCCTGTCTGTTGGCAGTCAGTGTGAATGTTTCCATTGGCCATCTTGATTGATTTGCATTTAATGGCCTAGCAGTTTTCAAGGTCTGGCTTCTTACTGCCCCCAGGGGGGTCCTTTGTTGGAAGGTGATTAACTGAACCTGATTGTTGGGAGGTGATTAGCTGGCCCTTGTCTGGAATTCCCCTGTTTTTAAGTGTTTTGTTTTTATTTACTGTTATGTGGACAATTTCAACAGAAAGGAGGAAACCATGAAAATTTATTTATTTTATTATTTATCGTGTCAGTAGCAACCAGACAATTGTATTACATTTTTAACTAATTTTTTATTGAAAATGAACATAATCTGGCTACCAGTGTTAAAAAACTCTAAAACAGTAAATAAAGAACAACGCTAAAAAAAACAGGGGAATTCCAGACAAGAAACAATCAGGGCCAGCTAATCACCTCCCAACAAAAGATTCCGTAGCATTGAGCCCTAGCAGTGACTGTTTCCGACTTTCCTCCCCTTTCCCCTGGATGATGGGGGAAAGAGTGACAGGGCAACACTAATTGCCAATGAGCGCCCGAGTCTCTCCAGACTCTATCTCCATAGTGTGCCAAAGTGCTCCAATTCTATAGTGTAGATGCACCCTTAGAAGTTCCAGGAGTTGTAATTTCACAAGGTCTGACACCTTCTCACCAAACCACGAATCCCAGGATTCCATAATATTCAGCAGAGGCAGTTCAAGTGGGGTCAAACTGAATTAATTCTACAGTTCAGATTAGTAGATCCCTACCTGTGGTCTGTAGACCATCAGTGGTCTGCAAGAACTACAATATGGTCTGCAGCCTCACTGTTACTACCACAGATAATAACACAGCCCTGGTGTCTTGTTTTTAGGCCTGTTCCTGGGGTTATTTTGGGTGCTGATTTAGAAAAATGCATTGGATAGACCATATCAGCTCTAGATGATTAAATATGGTTTTCTGTGGGCCAGCAGATGGCGACAACTGGATGGCCTATGTTCTGTATCAGAAACTAGAGCTGATGTGGTCTATCCAATACAATTTTCTGAATCAGCACCCCAAATAACCAAACTGAATCTAACAAAAAACCAATTCGTAACCATTTTGGTACTAATGTTGGAGAGTGGTCCCTGCTCAAAGTGGTCCCTGGTTGAGTGGTCCCTGGTCAAGTGATTCCAGGTTTAGTGGTCCCTGCTCAAAGTGGTCCCTGGTCGAGCAGTCCCTAGTTGAATGGTCCCTGGTCAAGTGATTCCAGGTTAAGTGGTCCCTAGTCGAGTAGTCCCTGCTCAAAGTGGTCCCTGGTCGAATGGTCCCTGGTTGAGTGGTCCCTGGTCAAGTGATTCCAGGTCAAGTGGTCCCTGGTCGAGTGGTCCCTGCTCAAAGTGGTCCCTGGTTGAGTGGTCCCTGGTCAAGTGATTCCAGGTCAAGTGGTCCCTGGTTGAGTGGTCCCTGGTTGAGTGGTCCCTGCTAAAAGTGGTCCCTCATCGAGTGGTCCCTGGTCGAATGGTCCCTGGTTGAGTGGTCCCTGGTCAAGTGATTCCAGGTCAAATGGTCCCTGGTCGAGTGGTCCCTGCTCAAAGTGGTCCATGGTCAAGTGGTCCCTGGTTGAGTGGTCCCTGGTGGAATGGTCCCTGGTGGAATGGTCCCTGATCAAATAGTCCCTGCTCAAAGTGGCCCCTGGTCAAATAGTCCCTGCTCAAAGTGGTCCCTGGTCGAGTGGTCCCTGCTCAAAGTGGTCCCTGGTCGAATAGTCCCTGCTCAAAGTTGTCCCTGGATGAAAGGTCCCTGGTTGAGTGGGCCCTGCTCAAAGTGGTCCCTGGTCGAGTGGTCCCTGGTCAATGGTCCCTGGTCGAGTGGTCCCTGCTCAAAGTGGTCCCTGGTCAAATGGTCCCTGGTTGAGTGGTCCGTGGTTGAGTGGTCACTGGTCGAGTGGTCCCTGGTCGAATGGTCCCTGTTCGAATGGTCCCTGATCAAATGGTCCCTGGTCAAATGGTCCCTGGTCGAGTAGTCCCTGCTCAAAGTGGTCCTTGGTCGAAAGGTCCCTGGTTGAGTGGTCCCTGGTCAAGTGATCCCAGGTCAAGTGGTCCCTGGTTGAGTGGTCCCTGCTCAAAGTGGTCCCTGGTCAAGTCATCCCTGGTCAAGTGGTCCCTGCTCAAAGTGGTCCCTGATCCAGTGGTTCCTGGTTTAAAAAAAAGCACTGGTTTAGATACACCCTAAGTCCAAACTTTAATGAAGCTATGCAAGACACCGGACTTAATTTAAAGATTGGGCAGAGTTTCTCCAGTCATGCACTTTGGTGCTACGTCTCACACTCTCCCCCATACCAGATATACGTGGTAAAACAGAAAACTGCAAGGAGTCCCTTCTTTCTGCACCAAGCGACCGAGGTCCATCTACGCAGATGACATTTCCCTTTTTCTGTCTTTCACACCTTCCTTTCCCCCATAAAGATGTTTCCTGCCTCATCTTCACACTTGGGTTATTTCCCCCGTGTGCTTCTTCTTTTCTGAGTTCCTGCAAACGAGGCAGCCAGAAAACAAAACCTTGTTGCCTTCAGGAAGCTGGGCGCATAGCTTTGCAGAAGGAAGGCTTCGAGCAGGTCTTCCCCAAAGGTCCAGCTTTGAAAAAGGGGTCCGTCTGCAAAAAAAAGGCCAGCGAGGCTCAACAACGACGTAGAGGAAAGCCGCATGTCTTTCCAGTTCTCCGTTGGACCTTAGGATGGAAGCCATTGCGCTTTACAACTTCCAGGCAGAAGAGAAGGATGAACTTGCCTTCAAGAAAGGAGACACGCTCAAGGTAAATGAGGAAGATGTGTGCCCATTATATGGCTCAGGCAAATAAGGCGTTGGGAGGAACACATGGCATATTTTTGAATGGCTTTCTAGGTGATCCCATTTGTTTACACAGCTGAATTGATGCAGTTTGGCACCACTCCAACCACCATGACTCAATGCTATGAAATTGTGGGATGTGCAGTTTGGGGAGGCTCCATAATTCTTTAGCAGTGCATGCTCAAGACCTTCCATAGGAGTTGCAGTGTGACAAAACATGGGGACCCTATGAATGCAAGGCTCCTTTCGCTCCTATGAGACTTGCATGAGATTAGGCTAACTAATCGGTGCAATTTTTTTGGGAAGACATCAGACTCATGGAGCAGGAGAGAAGTCTGCAGGGCAAGCAGGGGCAAACCCAGGCCCAGAGGCTGGATGCGGCCCCTTGGGGCTATTTTCTCAGGGCCCCCCCCTCTCTCACCATCCTATCCTTCCTACTCTCTTTCCTTCCCTCCTTCTTTCTCCTTCCCTTCTGCCCTTTTGTCCTTCCTTTCTTCCTCTTTCCTTCCCTCGCTCCCTTCCTTCCTTGCCTCCTTCTTTCTCACTCCCTCCCTCCCTCCCCCCTTCCTTTCCTCTCTCTCCTTCCTTCCTTCCTTCCTTCCTTCCTTCCTTCCTTCCCGTTTGTCTTTCCTCCCTCCATTCCTTTCCACCCTTTCATCCTTCCTTCTCTCTTCCCTTCCTCCTCTTTCTTTCCTTCCTTCCTTCCTTCCTTCCTTCCTTTCTCTTTTCCTTCCTTCTCTCTTTCTTCCTTCCTTCCTTCCTTCCTTCCTTCCTTCCTCCTTCCTTCTCCTTTTCTTCCTTCTTTTTCCTTCCTTCCTTTTCTTTCCTTCCTTCCTTTCTTTCCTTTCTTCCTTTTCTTCCCTTCCCTTCCTTTCCCCCTTTTCTTTCCCTTCCTCTTTTGTCTTTCCTGCCTTCCCTCTTTCCTCCCTCTTTCCCTCACTCTTTCCCTCACTCTTTTCCCTCACCTTCCATCCTTTCCTTCCTTGCTTGCTTCTTTCCATCCATCCATCCTTCTCTTAATCCCTTCCTTCCTTCTCTTTTTCCTTTCTCCCTTCCCTCCCTTTTCCTTCCCCTTTCTTTCCTTCCTTCCCTCTTTCTCTCCCTTCCTTCCTTTCCTCTCCTTTCTCTTCCTTCCTTCTCTTCCTTCCTTCTCTTCCTTCCTTCTCTCCTTCTCCTTCTCCCTCTTTCTCCTTCCTTCCTTCCTTCCTTCCTTCCTTCCTTCCTTCCTTCTCTTTTGTCTTTCTTTCCTTCCCCTTTTCCTTCCTCCTTTCCTCACTCCTGCTTCAGCCTTCCATCCTTCCCTTTCTCCCTTTCGTCTTCCTTCCTTCTCTTTCCGTCCTTCCTTCCTCCCTCCTTCCTTCCTTCCATCACGGGGCAGCCAGTCCTCCTAGCAGGGAGTGCAAGCATCCGACCCCCAAGTTAAAATTTGCCCATGTCTGCTGTAGGGACAAAGGGATTTGCCCATGTCTGCTGATAGGAATTGTGGAAGTCCAAAACACCTGGAGGGCCAAAGTTTGCCCATGCCTGGTGTAGATGCACCCCTCAATGGATGAGAAGCAAAACTTGCTTCTTATCTAACTATTAAAGGCACAGGAGCCCTATGCAAATTTAAAGTTGGCAACCCTCATTCTGATACGTTTCTCTCCCTTTTTGCATCTGGTTACTTTTACTATCTGCTGCCACCCACTTACACCTGCGAGTTGTTTGGTTCCATCAAGTCCCAAGAGACGTAGCTCAGATCCTCTTTTTGTTTCACAACCCAAAGTGCAGTTTCTCACGCTGAGTGGGGAAAGATTAGAAGTGAAAACCTGCCTTTTGGAAATTACCGGCCATTCTCACATTGTGGTTTTGCTCTCACTAATGAACTGCACCCCTATAAGGCCCTTAATGCCCTGCTATTTTTTTTCTTTTTTGGGGGGTGGCCCTCCCAACAGATCCTGAACATGGAAGATGACCTCAACTGGTACAAAGCTGAGCTCTTTGGCGTCGAGGGATTCGTCCCCAAAAATTACATCAAAATGCGGCCTCATCCGTGAGTAGTAGAGTGTATCGCCACTGATGCCCCTAAAGCAGCATTTCTCAACCAAGGGGTTGGGACCCATCTGGGGGGTTGCGGGGGGGGGGGGGGGGGGGGGGGGGGGGGGTGTCAGAGGGGTCACCAAAGACCATCAGAAAACACAATATTTTCTGTTGGTCACGAGGTTTCTGTGTCAGTTTGGTGGGGTTCGGAATGCTCTTTGATTGTTGGTGAACTATAAATCCCAGCAACTACAACTCCCAAATGTCAAGATCTATTTTTCCCCCAAACTCCACCAGTGTTTACATTTGGGCATATTGAGTATCTGTGCCAAGTTTGGTCCAGGTCTATCATTGTTTGAGTCCACAGTGATCTCTGGATGTAGGTGAACTACAACTCCAAAACTCAAGGTCAATACCTTCCAAACCCTTCCAGTATTTTCTGTTGGTCATGAGGGTTCTGTGTCAGAAGTTTGTCCCAGTTCTTTCATTGGTGGGGTTCAGAATACTTTTTGATTGTAGGTAAACTATAAATCCCAGTAACTACGACTCCCAAATGATAAGGTCTATTTTCCCCAAACTCCAACAGTGTTCACATTTGGGCACATTATTTGTGCCAAGTTTGGTCCAGATCTGTCTCCTCTATTATTTAACATCTATATGCGACCGGTTGCCCGACTGGTGCGGAGCTTTGGGCTTGAGTGCCACCAGTACGCTGATGACACTCAGCTCATTCTGAGGATGGAAGGCTGGCCGGACTCTGTACCCGAAAATTTCCATCACTGCCTTGAGGCCGTTACTGGATGGTTGCGTGCCAGCAGGTTGAGGGTGAACCCAGCGAAGACGGAGATCCTCTGGCTGGACCGTCCGGGTGGAAGGGAGATCCAGCTGCCTACCCTGGATGGAAAGACACTACGTCCGTCACCTTCTGTAAAAAGCCTTGGTGTCTTATTGGACCCTCTGCTCACAATGGAGCCCCAGGTCTCTGCTGTGAGCAGATCTGCGTTTTTCCATCTACGTCAGGCTAGGCGACTGGCTCCCTTCCTATCTAGGAATGACCTGGCTACAGTGATACAGGCGACGGTCATCTTGAGGCTTGACTACTGTAATGCCCTCTACATTGGCCTTCCTTTGTCAGTGATCCGGAAACTGAAGCTGGTGCAAAATGCGGCAGCTCGTCTTCTCGCCAGGCTGCCGGCGAGGTGTCGTATCACCCCAATTCTACAACAGCTGCACTGGCTAACGACTGAATACCGGATCACTTTCAAGGTGCTGGTACTAACCTTTAAGGCCTTATATGGTCTGGGGCCGGCGTACTTGAGGGCCTGCTTATCCCCCTACCAACCCCAGAAATTACTTCAGTCCGAGGACCAAAATTTGCTTGAAGTCCCCAACATCCGGACTTATCATCTGCCCTCTACTAGGCAGAGAGCCTTCTCGATTGTGGCCCCTTATTTAAGGAATGCCTTGCCAGTTGAAACCCGAGCTGTCCGAGAGCTACTTGCTTTTCGGAAAGCCTGTAAAACCTTTCTTTTCCGACAAGCTTTCGATGGGTGAATAACTTGGGACTATGTCGGTTCTCATTTTTATTGTATTTTGAAGTTGGTTGTATTGTTTTAATATACTGCTGTAAACCGCTCCGAGCCAAATTAGGAATGGCGGTATACAAGTCAAATAAGTCAAACACAAAGACAATGCCCACCAAACCCTCCCAGTATTTTCTGTTGGTCATGAGAGTTCTGTACATCAAGTTTGGTTAAATTCCATCATTGGTGGAGTTCAGAATGCTCTTTGATTGCAGGTGAACTATAAATCCCAGCAACTACAACTCCCAAATGGCAAAATCAATCCCCAGCACAACCCTACCAGTATTCAAATGTAGGCGTATTGGGTATTTGTGCCAAATTTGGTCCAGTGAATAAAAATACATCCTGCATATCAGATATCTACACTATGTTTCATGACAGTAGCTAAATTACAGTTAGAAGAGCAACAAAAATAATTTTATGGTTGGGAGTCATCACAACATGAGGAGCTGGATTAAGGGGTAATGGCATTATGAAGGTTGAGAAACACTGCCCAAAAGGTTGGCAACTTTGTGATCCCTTTGGCATTGGTATGGTATTATTGATATCACTTTCTGGCTTTCTCTCACGCAGGTGGTACTCTGGCAAGATTTCGCGGCAAGGGGCCGAAAAAGCGCTCCTCAAACGCCAGTTTCGGGGAGCCTTTCTCATTCGAGAGAGTGAGAGCAGCCCCGGAGACTTCTCCATCAGCGTAAAGTAAGTCCGGTTTGTCGTAGGTTTCACCGAATAGGAGAAAGAAAGTTGTTTACGGTCAGAAGGGATAGGCAGTGTGAAACTACAAGTCTTGAGAGTTGTAGTTTGACAAGACCTTCTGCCTTCTCTGTCAAAGAGTGCAAGGATCCCATAAGCCTTGAGCCACAGCTGTGAAAGTGGGTCAAACTACAATAAATGTTTTGGATTTTGGGATAGCTGTATTTCCATCTATGCAATATGGAGCCCCCAGTTGTGCAGTGGGTTAAACCCTTGTGCCGGCAGGACCGAAGTCCGACAGGTCGCAGGTTCGAATCCGGGAAGAGCGCGGATGAGCTCCTTCTGTCAGCACCAGCTCTCCATGCAGGGACATGAGAGAAGCCTCCCACAGGATGGTAAAATATCAAAACATCCGGGCGTCCCCTGGGCAACATATTTGCAGACAGCCAATTCTCTCACACCAGAAGTGACTTGCAGTTTCTCAAGTCACTCCTGACACGAAAAAAAATCTATAAGATACCGTTTCTCCAAAAATAAGACAGTGTCTTATATAAATTTTTGATCCCAAAGATGCACTAGGTCTTATTTTCAGGGGATGTCTTATTTTTCCACAAAGAAGAATTTTCATTTATCGTTGAACAAAAAAAAAAGAACATTTATTATATACCGTACAGTAGTTGTCATCACAAACCAGGGAAGGATGGAAGGAATGAAGGGAAGCATAAAGGAAAGAGGGAAGGAAGGACAGACTTTGAATCCTATCAAGTATTTCTTGTTACTACCATTATTTCCACGTACAACACATTGACTGGAGACCACAACAATCTCCCACAGCAGTTCCAGGACCACATGTACAGCAGGGATGGTATTGCAGCTTCCAGTCACTAGGAAGAGCTAGGTCTTACTTTTGGGGGAGGCCTTATATTTAGCAACTCAGCAAAACCTCTACTAAAAAGTTTCTCAACCTGGGGGTCGGGACCCCTGAGGGGGTGGCAGGGGAGTGTCAGAGCGGTCGCCAAAGACCATCAGAAAACACAGTATTTTTTGTTGGTCTTGGGGGTTCTGTGTGGGAAGTTTGGCCCAATTCTATCATTGGTGGGGTTCAGAATCCTCGTTGATTGTAGGTGAACTGTAAATCCCAGCAACCACAACTCTCAAATGTCAAGTCTATTTTCCCCAGTGTTCATTTGGGCATATTGAGTATTCGTGCCAAGTTTAGTCCAGATCCATCATTGTTTGAGTCCACAATGCTCTCTGGATGTAGGTAATCTACAACTCCATAAACTCAAGGTCAATGCCCGCCAAAACCTTCCAGTATTTTCTGTTGGTCATGGGAGTTCTTTGTGCCAAGGTTGGTTCAATTCCATTGTTGGTGGAGTTCAGAATGCTCTTTGATTGCAGGTGAACTATAAATCCCAGCAACTACAACTCCCAAATGTCAAGGTTTATTTCCCTCCAAACTCCACCAGTGGGAATATTGAGTATCCATGTCCAAGTTTGGTCTAGATCTATCATTGTTTGAGTCCGCAGTGCTCTCTGGATGTAGGTGAACTACAACTCCAAAACTCAAGGTCAATGCCCACCAAAACCTTCCAGTATTTTCTGTTGGTCATGGGAGTTTTGTGTTCCAAGTTTGGTTCAGTTCCATCGTTGGTGGAGTTCAGAATGCTCTTTGATTGTAGGTTAAGTGTAAATCCCAACAACTACAACTCCCAAATGTCAAAATCACACACACCCTCCCCCAACCCCACCAGTATTCAAATATGGGCATATCAGGTATTTGTGCCAAATTTGGTCCAGTGAATGAAAATACATCCTGCATATCAGATATTTACATTACGATTCATAACAGTTGCAAAATTACAGTTATGAAGTAGCAACCAATATAGTTTTATGGTTGGGAGTCACCACAACATGAGGAACTGTATTTTAAGGGGATGCGGCATTAGGAAGGTTGAGAAACACTGCTCTATTGGGTCTTATTTTCAGGGGATATCTTATTTTCGGGGAAACAGGGTATCTTGGAAGTGGGGCCCAAGTCTTAATGTGGAATTAGCCTGAACGTAATTTCAAACCATATATTCATAATGGTTTTGTGCAATGTCCGAGTACATCGGAAAGCAAAGGCATCACTGTCTCACCCAGCCAAGTGGACGATTGAAAATTTTGGAATTCCAGGTAAGGGATGTTCAGCCTGTCCTATTAGCTGTAGGTGTTCTTATGGACACAAGAGGGCAGGTGCCTCCCATTTGACAAAGTGAATGGAAAATGATATAGTTAGAATATTTGCAGTAACTATGCCATTTGGATGTATCTGCACTGTTGAATTAATGCAGCTTGACGTCACTTTCATGGCCACAGCTCAATGCTATGCAAACCTGGGAATTCTAGTTTTGGTGAGGCTTTGGCAGAGAAGGCTCAAGATGTTGTACGTACAATTAAAACTCCAGGGTTCCATAGCACTGAGGCATTGGTATTAAACTGCATTATTTTGACAGTGTAGATCAGGCATGGGTTAACTTTCTAACTTGGGGGCCGCATGCTACCACTCCCTGCTAGGAGGACTGGCTGCCCAGTGAAAGGAGGAAGGAAAGAGAGAAGGAAGGAAGGATGAAAGGGAGGGAGGATGGAAGGACAAAGACAGAAGGGAGGGAGGGAGGGAAGGAAGGAGGAAGAAAAGAGAAAGGAAGGGAAAGAAAGGGTGGAAGGGAAGGATGGAAGGAAGGAAAGGAAGCATAAAGGAAAGAGGGAAGGAAGGAAACACAAAAGGGAAGAAAGGAAGGAGAAAGAGGGAGAGAGGGAAGGAAGAGGGAAGAAAGGATGAAAGGGAAGGGGAAAGAAGGAAGGAAGGAAGAAAGGAGGAAGGAAGGAAGGAAGGAAGGGAAGCATAAAGGAAAGAGGGAAGCAAGGAAAGACAAAAGGGAAGAAAGGAAGGAGAAAAAGGGAGAGAGGGAAGGAAGCGGGAAGAAAGGACGAAAGGGTGAAAGGGAAGGATGGAAGGAAGGAAAGGAAGCTTAAAGGAATGAGGGAAGGAAGGGACGACAAAAGAGAAGAAAGGAAGGAGAAAAGGGAGAGAGGGAAGGAAGCGGGAGGGAAGGAGGAAAGGAAGGAAAGACAAAAGTGAAGGAAGGAAGGAAAGAGGGAAGGAAGGGAAGATAAAAGAGAAGGAAGGAAAGAAAAAGGGAGGGAGAGAAGGAAGGATGAAAGGGTGGAAGGGAAGGATGGAAAGAGAAAGAGGGAGGGAAGGGTGGGAAGGAGGAAGGAAAGGGAGAAGGAAGGAAAGACAAAAGGGAGGGAAGGAGGAAAGGACAAAAGGGTGGAAGGGAAGGAAGGAAGGAAGGAAAGAGAGAAGGAAGGAAGGAAGAGAATGGGAAGGAGGAAGGAAAAAGGGAAGGGAGGAACAAAGGAAGGAAGAGAAGGATGGAAGGAAGGATGGATGGAAGGAAAGGGAGAGAAGGAAGGAAGGAAGGAAGGAAGGAAGGAAGGAAGGAAGGAAGGAAGGAAAGAAGGAAGGAAGGAAGGGAAAAAGAACCAAAGGAAGGGAAGGAGGGAGGGAAGGGGAGGAAGGAAAGATGAAAGGGTGGATGAGAAGGAAGGAAGGAAGGAAGGGGAGGATAAAGAAAAAGAGAAGGAAGGAAAGACAAAAGTGAAGGAAGGAAAGATGAAAGGGTGGATGAGAAGGAAGGAAGGAAGGAAGGAAGGAAGGAAGGAAGGAAGGAAGGAAGGAAGGAAGGAAGGAAGGGGAGGAAAGAAAAGAGAAGGAAGGAAGAAAAAGTGAAGGAAGGAAAGATGAAAGGGTGAGAGAAGGAAGAAGGAAGGAGAGAAAAGGAAAGGGAAGGAAAGACAAAAGGGAAGGAAGGAGAAGAGGGAGAAAGGAGGGAAGAGGGAAGGAAGGAAAAAGGGAAAGAGGAGAAGGAAGGGAAAGAGGGAGGGAAGGAGGAAGGAAAGAGAGAACGAAGGATGAAAGGGTGGAAGAGAATGGAGACGGGGAGAAAAAGGGAGGTAAGGAAAAAAGGGAGGAAGGGAGGGAAGGAAGGAAGGAAGGAAGGAAGGAGGAAGGGAAGGAGAAAGAGGGAGGGAAGGAGAAGGAAAGAGAGAAGGAAGGAAGGGTAAGATGGTGAAAGAAAGGAGAGCCTGAAAAAAGAGCCTAAGGGGCCACATCTAGCCACCGGGCTGGGGTTTGCCCATACCTGGTGTAGATGCACCTCAAGTCACACCCTGAGGCTCATCCAACATCCAACTTTAATAGCATCTCCACAGCCTTGGCATTGACAAATACCCCTTTCACGTGCTCCCCAAAATGGCACTCATTTGCCAAAAATGATGCCCCAGAGGAAGGGAGGGATGGGCCAAATCCAGATTCAAGTTGGAACCCATCTCCCCAAAGAAGGTGGCAACACCCATGCCAACTGCCTGGCACGCTACGCCTCCCAAGGACAACCAATTTCAAAGGGCAGACCCCAAGCTGCAAGGCTGTGCACTCATCCCGATTCCGTGCCAAGCCCTGAAAATGCAAACTCTCAAAATAGTTTCAGAGCTGAAAAAGAGTGCCAGACATTTGCTTCTGTCCCATTCGGTTAGGCAAAAGGATAATCCTGCTTCTTGGCAAGGGGTTGGACTGGATGGCTCACGAGGTCTCTTCCAACTCTATGATTTTATGATTCTATGAATCCACAGATATATAAACTTCACTTGCTTAGTTTCCAACAGACCTCCCTGAGGATGCCTGCCAGAGATGTGGGTGAAACATCAGGAGGGAATGCTTCTGGAACATGGCCACACACCCAAGTAACTCACAATATTACCCAGGGGAATTCCAGACAGAAAACAGTCACGGCCAGCTAACACCTCCAAACAAAGAATTCCCCCAAGCAGGAAGCAGCCAGGCTTTGGAGCCGGAAGGCCATTCAGTGCTAATCAAGGTGGTCAATTGCAACATTCATTGCCTCAAACAGACAAAGAGTTCTTTCTCCCACCCTGGACATTCCACAGATATATAAACCCCA